AAATTTAAAGGTTCAATGGAACACAAAGATGCATTTCGAAGGGTTGCATTAAGACATTACATTTTCATGGGCCCTTTAAGTCGGAGTTGTGGTGTCGCGAACATCAGAACGTTTTTGATTTTACTTTTAATTCAAAAGGTCTTGATTACTTTTCCAGATTTCGTTTTAACTGCGCCGTTTGTTTAGAAGAAAATATGAGACCATTGGCAATCAGACGCTCTTTTTTGTTTTTAAATAATTGTTTGGTTTATTTTCGTGACGATGACCTACTTTTGGATGTCTATCAATTCCTGATCGTTCCAGATCGAGTGCGATTTATAAAACACAAAAGATCTTACAAAGATCCCGTCCGGGACTATTGGGAACGAGCATTTGATACTGTTACTTAAGACTCGACCCTTGGGGCCGTGGTTATTGAATAACTGTTTGTTCACTTCATTCACAGATGTATTATACTTTGGAGGGTATTAGTCTGAAATCAGAGCAATCTGGGGTTTTCTTTCTGTGTGGAGGATTGTACAGGGCAAAGTATTCCCTTTGGCGCTTTTCTCATTATTATCTGCTCGGAGTTGTTAGATCGACTTACGACTGTCAAAGTTGTAAACGAGGGGACTTTAGCAGCGACGCAGGGCCGGAGGATCGGGGGTTGAGCTTGCAGCATTCGTCGCGCTTTGCACGTCCGCCACGTCAGCTTGGGTTGCCAAGATGTGACCTGCTTTTCCGGGGGCGGATTCAGGGACATAATGGGTGTTGCTCCATATTTTGTTCAAAATTTTAACAAAAGCCAAATGTACCTGTATTTTTAAATGTGAGATTTACATCATTTTCTATCTGGATAGTGCTCTAACACGTTCAAACAAAATGGCCATTCATCCTGAAAACGTAGAAGGCGGTTACTATTTCTTAAACTTCTCGGTCGGCCCTGTAGACTTGTACACTTATGCGAACTAAAGCTGTATACTTCCCCTTGACTAAACTAGTCGAAATTGTTGGACAATATTATGGGGCTGCAAAACTCATTAATGTTTTCCCCTTTGACTGTACAGGGTGAGTCAAAAAACGAAACCCGAATGTCGGGACCATTAGTGAAGTTCTGCATGTAGCACTTTCCAAATCTGTGATATGAAAGCCCAAATCTGTGATATAAAACTCCGTTTTAAAGTTCTGTCTACAAATCACAAGAAGGTAAGTGTTCTTTCAGCTAAACAGAAACAAATCACATGGGGATGTGTGTGAATTGTTTTCGTTTTGCTGAAAGAAAGCACACCTTTTTTGTGATCCGTGGACAAAACTTTAAAGCGGCGGTTGTGTTTAAAATTGCGTATCTTGTAAAGTACATGAGTGATTTGAATGATTCTTGTACTAAAAGAAAGCTAATGAATTGGGCTGTTATATTCCAGATTTTGAAAATGCTACATGCAAAACTTCACTAAAACAATGGTCCTGACATTTGGGTTTCGTTTTTTTAAATCACCCTGTACACTTATTTAGTTGGAGGAAACATATTATTTACTAAGTATGATGACATTTTCCAATTTGAATTTAGGTCACGATCTCCAGCCACAAAAATATAAATGAATAAATGAATAAAACTAGAAAGCACTCAGAGAGCGCAAACCTCCGCCAAGGCTAAACAATTCCCCGCCATATCGTCAGTAGGGCCTATACACGGAAAAGAAACACTCGCATAAATGGTTAAAAATACTCAAAAGAATCAGATATCCAGACCCGAATCCAGATCATTTCCAAAATCAAATCGATTTGTACTTTGTACCAGGACCACCCCTAAAAAGATTTCCATGCAAATCCGTCCATACCTTTTTGAGTTATCTAAACAGACAAACCAACCAACTAACCAACAAACCAACAAACTAACCAAATCAGATGAAAACATAACTTCCTTTGGTCGAGCTAATGACAATAAAATAACAATAGTATCGATCAGTGAAAGTGCGACTGGTGTACAGCATGAAGCAGCGGCAGTGGGGTTGCAACATTTTTAGAAAGTTGGCGATGGGGTCAGACAATAATCTTTTATCCCGGGAAGTAATTTCGTGTAACGGTGGGGGTCGCTTATAACGGTTACATTAATGAGCTCATTTCAGTGCTGCCGGCTGGCAATAAATTCGATTTTACTGCCAGGTTTTGTAGAAAACACTTTTTTGTATAACGGTATACTTGAGATCCGGTTGTTGTGTGACAGAGAGGCTGTTGTAAATTACAGGTTTTATGGAGTAATAAAAACAGTTCAAAGCAGAGCGCGCAAGCAACGAATGATGGACGGATGTGCTGAAGGATTTAAAGGGGCAAACTGGTTTGGACTTTATTGTTATAAGAGGAACACACACCTTAAAGAAACAGAGATAAGAAATTATACAGGATGTATTGTAAAAGGTTTAAAATTACCCAAAACTTAGTATTTCACAATATTTAAAGCGGGATTACCCGTGCTCTGGTCATAAAAACAAAATCAATTTAATTCATAGTGTCCCCGCATGCTAACGATGGAGTACAATAATAACTACTGTTAACGGGAAAGAGACAGGTACCATATACAACAATATATTGTTGTGGTTTTTTTCTAATTGGCTTCAAAATGGACTTTTATATTGTTTTATATTTCAAGCTGTACGGCTTCTAAGTTAGAAAGCGCATCGCCATAGGGTTTCAAGTTTGTTTTGTGGAAAACTGCTCGAATCTTATAGGAAAATGAATGGTTGGTTCAATGGTTCTGACTGATATTTCTTCATGAAAAAGTCCTGTGAACGTTTAGATTATTTAAACTTCCCTTTTGCAAGAACCGTTGAAACGTTTAAGCCGTATGGTCCAAAGTTACGGTACTTCGTCATTAAGACTTTATAGTTAGCCCTGCCACACTCTTGGGGAACGGCAAACGGGGATCACTCAGAGAGGTATTGCTTAATTTGGTGATCCCCCAGAGGGCCACTGACTGGCTCATGCGCTGTCACTTGTGAGCTGGGCAGTGCTGTCGTATCGGATTACATTATAATCTGGCTCATATTTTAATGCAGACCAGCTAGATCATACCTGAAAAGTTCCAGTGGATAGCCATTCTGAATATCAAGTGAATATAAAAGTATAGCACGGACAAGATTTATACATAAGCTTTAAAGTCTTACCGAGAACCACACGTTGTTGGTTATTCTCTCGGGGGTTTACGTTTCAAAGGAGTACCGTGTGTGACACAACCTCGACCCCAGGGTGTCGAGCAGTACACGCCCATCACTACCTGCTCTCTCACCCTGGTATTGGATCATTTGCATGTGCAAGATTGTTGAACACGCGCATGTGCGTTATATTATCGTTCGTTTTTGTATGCGGTGTCCGGGGTAAAAACAGAGTCAATTCGTCGCAGCGCGAGCACAGCGTGAGTTACAAAACACGATTTTTTTAAAAATTAGAACTTTTGCGATCTTATCTAGACAACTTGCAGTATCACATTTCTTATTAATATGAACAAATTGGAAGAGATAAGAGTATTTTCGAGAAGGCGTGGACGAATGATCGCGAAAACACATACTGCACGTTGTGAATAACAACACCAAGTACACGATATAAATCCATATTAGCCAATTGCGGTATGGAATCAGGATGCAGGAAGAAAGTTTTCTACCCAGGGCTTACTATTGGAAACAATGTTGGAAATAAAGTAAGCACTGGGGACGAGGTTGTGTGTGACCGGGATTCCGTATAACGACTCCCTCGGCGACCCTAACATCTCAGCTTGGGATGAAAATGCGCAGACGCCGTTGCCATGGATACGGTGTACGCTATTTATGCCGGCAATATATCAGCGTGAAAAATGGGGGCGATCGGTTGCCGCAGCGTTGAACGAACAACTGTCACAAGTCCAGCAGTTGTCGTGCTAGCGCTAGCAGTTGTTATATTGTCCAGTCGTTCATGAAATATTGGCTGTATATTATAGTGGTCTTGGGGGACTGTGTAATTTACGGGGTGAAATAAAACCAATGTTTCCTGGTTGTGAGTGAAGGGATTTTGTAGTTTTTAGCTGCAGCATGCAATTGACAGTCACGACCACGTGAGTAGTGGTGCATTTATAAGAACAGACCTTTATATCATGTATATGACTGAGGCTACAGCAGGTCCACAGCCTCCGAGATCATTGGAGCTTGTTCTTGGGGGACGTACGACCTGGTTCTTGTGTGTCCTTTCTCTCTATCGTACCGAATGCGAGCCAGCTGACTTAAACTTTAAAACTTCAATCGTTCGTTGTGATAAACAGTAAAGGCGGAATTTGAGGTATTTGTCGAACTGGCCCACTGACAACCAAAACGTATTCAGCACTGAAAAAAATACAAAGGAAAAAGCAACAAAAACTTTAAAGTTAAATAACTAAATATATACTGGTATAGAAGTGCATCTGTATCATAAACAGACCCCCCCCCCCGGCTTTTCGATTGGCCAACCGGGCAATTTTTGGATTTTGGTCATACCATCCCCCACTCCCCATCACAAATACGCCACTGGTAACGTGTGTAGTAGTCTCGAAACCCCGGTCATTAAGTCCCAGTTCGGGCTTGGAGTTTTAGACTAGGCTAGGCTTGGGAACTCGAGCTCAGTGTAAAACCACCTGTATTGGATACGCAATCACCCACCGCAAGAAGGCATCAGACGATCGCGCACAGTATAGAACAACATCCTGGCCATGGTCGGTCTGCTTCAGAACATCAAATCCGAAGCCGCTACATAGACGCAGCCGAGGATTGGAAAACGCCTCAGAGGAGGTCAATCATCGCAAACGCCCTCATTTTCAAAGAGGGGCATTTTGCAGACTTTACAAATTATTTGGTGGCTTTTCACCTTGTGTTTCTTGACGTGAACCCTTTGATACTTCCTCTTTCCCACGACTCTACGCCCCCCCCCCCCAACTGACAGTTGTGTATAGTGTGGTCTTCTTGGAAATTTTGCGGTCGTCGTGGACATAAATCTGACGACAGAGGGCGCACTTTACAAACGCCGTTAATTTTTCCCTGTCACTTGCCCTTCGCGCGTACAGCGTCGTGTAACCAAGTCAATTCTCGCACCAAAGGCGGCCGAATTCTGGCTGGATTTTATCGCTGGAGTGAAGAATTTTATCATTTTGGAGGATTTGAATGAACCCGGAGGGTATGTGGACACGGACCGTCGGTTTAACGGTAAAATCAAACTCGAATTGCCAGTGAATATCGCAAAAAATATTTCGAAGCTAAAAAGTAAAAAAGGAGTTGTGATTCGCCATTTTGGTTCGTTGTAGGCCTATACTTCGACTGGTTTCATTCATTGATCATGCTTCATCAGTCACTTTCCAGGTCGAGTGCCTTTTAACTTTTGACCCTCGAGGCTGAGTCGGTAAATAATGTCCCACTGTGAATGTATGTACTTTGTAGTCGTAGCTAGGCAACAGTTTGTAATAAGACGGGAATGTCCAAGTTTTGTGTAGGCCCTAGGCCTACGCGCCCGACCACCCCCGACCCACCCTTCTTCACTTAAACACTAGGCCATCGTGTGTAGCGGCCTGTAGGCCTCCATCAGCATGATCAGGCATCAGCCATCATGGCCATGTGAATACCGAATCTGTGTTTCTTTGCTGTTTCTAGAAGTAAAACATAGGCCTGCTCCTTCTTAGTGTGGTGATGGGCTCATAACTCTGTGATGATTTTGGAAAGATTTCCATATACGAAGTTCACTCAACACCCTGTGTACAACTATGACTATGAGATTGGACTGAAAAATTCTAAGTGTTTTCTAAGAAAATGCTTGTATTTTCTCACTGCTCAAATTGACTTTGATGACATGAAAATGCTATCTGGCGTCTGGGGGCTTGTTACTGTTAGTCAATACAGAGGAAAATTAGTGAACTTCGTACATGGAAATCTTTCCATGATTTTGACTAGGCCTACTTTTTTTCTGGCTTAAACAATAGGGAATTAAGTTAGTGCTTTCAGCGGTAGGCATATTTCTGAGTGTTGGAATAATTGTTGTGAAGTAATTCTGGCACAATTGTGTAGTTACGTGCCCCTCTTTAGTTGTGATTTAGTTAGAGCCAAGAGTGATATTTTTTATCATTCCAAATCGACTTCTGCAGCCTAAGGCTAAGCAGACTTCTCTACGATAAGGAAATAATGTGCATGATGAAGCATCCAGACGGCACTTCAGCGGTTGTGTACAAAGTCTATGGAAAGTCAAGAATATTAACTAAGTTAGTATTTCCTAACAAAACTGGAAAATATTTCTCAGTCCAAGGTTCATGTCTTTTTGAGATTTTTGCAATGACTGACCTTTATTGACATGATGAAGAACAAAAGTGGGGTCAAGTTGCAACATTCTTTCCTCTGATGACACTATTTTGTTTGTAATTTTCAACAATATGTTTCGTTAAAAATTGTGCTTTTCTTACGCTACGCCGCTTTGTTGTTGATGCCATGAGAAAGTACCCATTTCCACGCATTCACGGTGCATCGCGGTGATCTCCATTATTATTTTTGTGTTGCATTTTGAAGTCCTCATCGTTATTTTGAGCAAATCTCCCTTAAAAAAGAAAAAGAAAACCCTGCCCTGTTTCCACGACACTCCTGTTGCTTGTAAATTATGCTGCTAACTAGTTTGGCTGGTCCAATAACCTTAGTAAAAGTAGATATGTGTTTTCATAGGAACAGGGCTCGTAACTACACAATTGCTATATTTTATCTGTTCTAGTTGTAGCTGTGTCACATACATGACACATGTACAAGAATAGGCCCATCCAAAGTTTTCTTCAAGTTCAGGACATTCTAACAAATTCACTTGGTCAGACCAGCTTTTCCAGTAAAACCGGGATGGCCTGATGGTGGTAGACCCTGGCACAATTGTTCTCTTTATATTCACACTAACACAAAGAAAGTTAGCAATAAAATGGGCCTTTTTTTGCACACATTATCAACAATTCTTATTCGAAAGTATAATTCTGATGTTTGTAATTCTACCTCATTTTTGGATGGATTTGATATTTGAAAATAATAAAAACATATTAGGCCCATACGGTTTAGTCGAATTCTTTGTAGAGTCAATATATTATTATGTACTGTTGTGCCATAATCGGGTCATAATCTGTAACTTAAGGAAGGCAATTCCAAATCGCTTGACCTTTAAGTGGTCCGTGTCCACCATCCTCCAGGGAAGAACACTGACCCCTGACCCCAGCGAAGCATCAATCAGTCACCGGAGGGGAAAATTGAGACGAGACGAAACATTTCATGGGAGCACTCTCTGCTGATGCAGAGACTAAACGGAACAAACCCTGAAAAAAATACTGCGAGTTTTCAGAGAAATGTAAACGATGAATCGACGATTGCGAGGAACTGTTGACCATAGCAGAATGTGATCAACTGTAGACTTTACCGGGTTAACATGTCGACTACTGCCTCCCCCGCTCCCTTAGCTCCCAAGGGCAAAGCGGGGTCATCGCACTCTTGGGAAGAATGGACGGTAAGTACCAATAGTACACATTTGTGCAACATACTCCTCTGTCATATGTAGTGAGATTTTGTAATGTTAAAACATGTTTTTTTTTTTTTGTGAATTTCTAAACTGAGGTGCGTGATTGGTAGATCACGCTGCGCTATCGGTCAATTATGACGGATATCTCGGGCTTTAAAAAGATTCTCCAGAGCCGTGAATTAGAAAGAAAAGAAAAGCGTCATGATCGGCCGATCGTGCAGCGCGATCGACCGATCTCGCACGTTGACCGATCGCGCCCAACAAATATGCATCAGGACCTCATGGCATCCGAAAGACAGAAACATAAAGTATTGACAATTTTTCTGAGTGTCCAATAAAGTAATTTACTCCTTTCGGAGAAAAAAAATTAAGCTCTTGAATTTCTACACAATGAAAAGTACAATGTGCATTGTCACAGGTTTCACAAAGAGACAAATTAAGTGTACTATATAAGGGAATAGGAAATTTGTCTATGAAAACTGCGACAATACATACATGTATAGGCCTACACCAAATATTGGAAGGCATTGGAAGTTTTGCTCAACCATTTATGGCCTTTGCACATATAATCTCGCCTACCTGTTTCGCAATCAACACGGGGCTACTGCAAGTGGTAGGCAAGGCATACTGTTCACACTTGCATACATTTTTACACCAGGTCGGCTAGGTCTTAGACTTTTCCAGGTCCAACATGTATGGAGAAATGGATAGAATGAAAGGTCCTTATTTATAATCAGAGAACCCAAGCAGGTACTTCATACATCATACCCAGAGGTTGTTTAAACAGTCTAGACTCATTAATCTTCCTGTTTACTGTGATAATTGCACTCACACTGTGAAACAGTCCATTGTTTACAAACATAACTGATAGCTGTGTGGCCTTGCTTCAGGACATCAGTCAGTCCAAAGGTTTAGCCCAGGTGCACTTTGCTGAACATGTACCATGATGTATGTAGTACATCAAATTAGGTTTTTGCCCTTCACCAACATATAAACACTGTATACTCAGTGTGTTATGAATAGTTAATGCTTTACCCGCTGCTATACATGTATATCAGATTCGAACCGGCCAACTGATCTTGTTAGCTCGGTGGTCGAGTGGTAAGACGTATGCACTAGATAGCAGGAGGTCGTGTGTTCGAGTCCCACCCGAGTGATTTTTTTTCTAACTTTTACTCGGGAGGTAACACACTGAGTATACAGTGTTAAATACGTCGGTGAAGGGCAAAACCTAATTTGATTTACATCACCCCGATGCAAAAAAAATCCATCTTGTAGTTCCGGTACCAGAAGCCTACATTTGTACCCAAGTTGAAATCGCCATGGGCCTGAACCATTGAGCAGAACCGGGTCTGATGGTGCGCAGGTAGGCAAGGCATACATACATGTATACCGTTCACACTTACACTGTAAACGGGAAATGTTTACATGGGTTGGGCGTAGATTTTGGATTTCCCACCAGGGCAGAGCCTTTCTCGACCTTGGTCTCGACCAGGCTTGAATTCATTTAGGAACAGTTCTGGAAAGGGGTTTTCCAGAATCTTTGGGTTTTGGCACGATTTGACTGAACGGATCTTGGTTTTAAAATCAGAGAATGTTCCTGTTGATAGTGCACTACATGTACATGTAAACACTCAAATATACCGGTATTCATTACAAAAGTTCACAGTACACATGTCCATCAAATACAGTGTACATGTACGTCAATAAGCCACATGAATTTTCAGTTGAATAGGCCCTTGTGCACCCCATTATCACCCACTGTTGTTGCTTTCTCTCCCACATCGACCAACTTGGGCCAGCCCTTTTGTGGGATGTTTTTTTTTTTCATCGCGTTCAGAGAAACTGCATCCACATTTGTGGTTGACTTGCTGCAATGAAAGCCTATGAGAGAGGATTAGTAGGAATGCATTGACAACCGCTCTTTTTGGTGTTTGATGAAATAGTCTGCTTGGATGAGCACCTCGGGCCCTCTAATTGGGCCCATATTTCGGATACCATTTACAAGACTGTTGTCAACTTAACAACATTGATGTTCGGTGTGGAAGGTCACACAATTTTGGATTGTTGACTGTCAATCGTATGTATTCAAAATTGTAATGTAAAGCACTACATGTAATTCAGTAACTAAACATCTAGTGGTTTTTTTTTTTTTTGGTTCATTCAAAAGTCAATTTGCTAGAAAAATAGAAATTTAGAAAGGAAATCTACTTTTTGGGATGGAACTAAAAATTAGTATGAGAACTTATCGTACCCCCACCCAATGTACAGTAAATGTACCTTAGTAGTACCTTACATGCTGTCAATGCATAGCGCTTAAAGGGAATGTACCGGTACCGTACGTCATTGGCTTTTGCTGTAATTTTAGAAATGAAAAACTACTGTATTTGAGGGTTACTACATTGTTTAATACATGTAGATCAAATATTGTTACACTGACATGTTTGAAGTTTTGTGTTCGAAAATGCTGGAAAAACCAAGAAAAACACAAATGGTGGAGCAGTCTGGTTCCCTGACTCCACTAAAGATAAAATGGATCAATTTATAGATGCGGAAAAATTGTACATGTATGTATATGTACATGTACACGTATATGTAAGGGAACCAGTCTAGCTGGCCTGCACCCGTTCATGAACATGTAACCAATAGCAAACAAAATTTAAACTGAAAAAAAATGGTGACTGTCATAAATTATACCAACATCCTAGTACTTGCGTATTTCGTAAAAACTTGGTAGTTTTATTTTTCGATGTTTGCAAATGTTATAGGCCTTTTCCTTTTGTATTCATTTTCTTTGATTGGTACCAGTACACGTAGGAGGGCATGATCCCATGTTCGTCAATAACCCGGGTACATTGTATGTGTTTGCCCCGAAGACCCAACTCTATTGAATTGTGCGTCATTCTTAATCTGGCCACAGGCAGAGGGAGCTGAACTCGGGCCAAGACTAAGAGCTTGAAATATGAAACCTGTTTGCCAAAATGTACACATTGTATCACAGAGTTCACAGACATGTTTACGTTGTATTACAGAGCAACACAAAGTAATTGTACATTGTTGCACATTCAAAGGGGCTGGAATTGATTGAGGCATGGTGGATTTTCATTGCTGAAAATTGTGCAAAACTGCACGTACTGGTATGTGTACATTGTTCATGGTGTTCTTGTCACACGTGTTCTGTACACTCCTGGGGAGGACTGAACAATTTAATTTGTTCGGACAAAGGGGCCTACGTACATGTACCTGTAGGCCTACATGTTGCACAATCAGTTTTGAGCTGTTTTATTCAGAGTATCAGATTCCTTGTTTCCCGTACTAATTTAAACACACAAATCTTACAAAATTTGTCAGAGAAGATCCATTTTTGTTGCCAGAAATATTGTAAAAGCTTGGGAAACGTCAAAGTTCACACTCTGTATTATAAAGAACATGCTGATTGCATATTTTCCGAGATCTCTGTAGGCCTACAGATATTAGCACCACTGGCAAATGTAACATTTGACCCCTTTTTTAACCCTCGTATACAATGTATATATCTCCAGTTTGAGGCCCACTCTTCAAAATTGTCAGCCTAGAATTGGGCATGTTTCAAAAGTCCCCAAATCATGTCGGACGGAATTTGATAGAACAAAATGTAACAATTTTTGTTTTAGAATACATTAAAATGTTATTCTGATTTCAAACACCACCAAAGATTTTAAGTAATGACACCTAACATTATTTCTAAATTCCACACTTTTGTTTGTCTGTTATTACGAAAAATGTGTACATGTCGGACGGAATCGATAGAAATGAGCCTCCTCAGAATTTCAGAAACAAAATCAGATTTTATCAAAACTTGAGGGATAATTTTTTTCTATGTTTTATGTCAAGAAGAGTAACAATCACTACTTATGCTGACGTATATATTTTCTCTACAACACTATGTCATATTCAGTTAAGCTCAGCTGAAGCCACACCATGTCGGACGGAACAAATCATGTCGGACGGAATCACTATGTTGACCCAAAAACAAAGTTTGAAGAAACTTAATTTTAATGATAGTGGTCTTTAGGTAGTTGACTGTGCTTACCACCTGGGCACTTATAATGAACTAATAAGCAAGCTTCTTACAATTGTGTGAGAAAGATTATTAAAAATCCGTCCGACATGCTTCATTCCGTCCGACATGATTTTCAGTACATCAGTTTACATCCTCTGGACAAACATGAATAATTGCAATCTTCAGACAGGTTTTTTAGCTAACAAATATTATCCACTTCAGGTCCATGTACAATGTCTAAATTTTCTGACAAAATGCATTCAGAATATTACTACTGGTGGTTTAAAACATATCTAATTTATACAGGAACAATTGCTAATATTTGCGCAATTTTCCGGATTGGGCACTTACAAAAGGCATGCTAAAAAAGGACCCTCGTTTATACGAAAAGGACACTCTTTGAAAAATGTTGTGGGTGGGGGGCAAGTGTGGATTCGGGGGGGGGGGGGTAAAAACAAAACCCAGCTCTGTAAAAAAAATTGTTTTCCCATAGAAATTAATAAAAAAAATGTTAACCCCCCCACTCCGACACCCACATTGTTTTTACTGGCAATAATGTTCGCCTTTGCACAAAATACGGACAGATCCAGCTTGGTTAGGGGGCATACATGTACCGGTATGTACACCATTTCGTGATATACATGTATTGTTAATAATTGTCGGATTGAACAGCGCCCCCATTGAAAGTATGGTACAAGCCCCCCCCCCCCCCCCCCCCCCCCGTCAAAAACACTGTCTATATTTCAGATCTTTTTGCCGATGAAACCCCCCCCCCCTCCCCCGGGGCAAAAATTCCTGGATCCGCCCCTGGGGGGGGGGGGGGGGGGGTAAACACTAGTGGAAAAAGGCAAATAATAGCAATCATTATAAAATATGTGGGGGGGGGGGCTACACAGTTTCACTTTGGCACAGTTTCTTTTTGTGTGTTCTATCCTTAAATTTCACA